GTGTTGACTTCCCACCAAAAGTGGTATTTATATCAAACTTAATTTGAGCTTTCGTGACTGCAGGAATTATTCTTTGTTTTTTTCGGTAAAGTCACGTATAAAGTATTTAATTTAATTTATTATTTTATCTTTATACGTGGTATTTATATCGTCATTACCGCGAGGGTTGATGCCTTGAGTTTTCCCAATCGACTTGATTCCGATGGTGAGTCCAGAACTCTGCAGTGTCGATTAGCACTGAACTGGCTTCAAAATGACTCCTGCCAAATACAAAAAACATACAACCACATCTCTGTGCACTCACTTATAACAATGAACTCACAATCACATCTACTACTTATTATTGATATTTAAAGAATCGTGTTTGTGCTTTTTAATAAGATAAAAAAAAAATTGTACTTTTTTTTAGATTATTTTTTGCTGTGTTATTTTGTGTGTGTTTGATGTAACGGCGCCATGGATGGCAGAGCTAAGTCAGAAAGTTGCCACAAAGTGATTTAAAAGAAAATTGTTATCACGGTAGCTGAGTATGTGGCTAAAGCCAAGCGGTCAGCAACATACAGTACTATTTAACGCGTGATTATAGTCAAAAAGACAATATTATACACCTGCAGAAACACTAAGGGGCCGTCCATAAATGACGTCACGCACCTAGGGGGGGGGGGGGTCAGACATTTGTGACGATGTGTGACGAGGGTTTGAGAAATGTGACGTCACATCAAAATGCGCAACTTTAAATAAATACAGAATTCTTATAACAACAACCACGGGAGCTTGTGTTGCTTCCGAAACGTCGCGATTTAATTTATGTATCATTATTTTATTATTATTTTATTTTATACCTATGTAACTTTACCGAAATAAGTAAAGAGTATGGAACATTGCAGTCACGAAAACTTAATATATAAACTGACTCATTGCTCACCTCACCTCACCTTTTTTGCTCGGGTCTCATTGTTGCTCTACAGTTCAGCTCTTGCTGCTGAGCTGTAATCCAGCTGTATGTTGAACTTCTTTTGTGCCGTACGTAGCCAACAGCGCTACGTACTGTGGAGTGCCGCTGTATTCTCCTGGATTATGATAAATACTGCGTAGAACTTCGATGTCCAGCGCGAGATTAACCCAGTGTGAAACACTTGCAAAGGTATCAGAAGGATTTCTGAAAACGGAGGCTCGTGATAAACCCATATTCCCCTTCGGTGCAAAATAAGTTGAACATACAGACATATATACAATATCACAACCGTCATTATCATACATGGATAATGATTCTGCCGTACACTTAATTTCAACTCTGCTTTAGTTCTAAATACTCTGGGCCCGTGACATTTCGCACGTACCAGAATGTATTTATAGGAGAACTGCCGCTCAACTTATTTGGCTTCAGTGCTCGGGGCAGTTATTGAGCTCAAAACTGTCGTGCGTGCAAAACTATGCTTAAAATTAAAAGCGACCTCATTGCTCACGAGGGTTGTTCTAGATTTGAAGCTTTCGTGACTGCAAGGATTCATACTCTTAGGTTTTTTTGCTAAAGTCACGTAGTACCGAAAAAACCTAAGAGCACGAGGGTTTCGATTTAAAGCTTTCGTGACTGCAGGGATTCATCTTCTTGGTTCTTTCGGTAAAGTCACGTAGAAGGGGAAGTAATACAAATAAAACATAATAAAATAAAATAATTCTCACGACGTTTCGGCCACAACGCAAGCAGCCGTCTTCACCTGAGGACGGCTGCTTGCGTTGTGGCCGAAACGTTGTGAAAATTATTTTATTTTATTATGTTTTATTTTTATTACTTCCCCTTCTACGTGACTTTACCGAATGAACCAAGAAGAAGAAGAAGCACGAGGGTTGTGTTCGACCAAACTTCACCATGCTGGTCGTACGTGTGTATGCATATTGAACTTCTTTCGCACCGTATGTAGCCAACCGTTCTAATGGGAGGTGCGGGGACCCTTATAACATGTGATACTATTGCTTTCTTATCAGGGTATGATGTAACACACTAATACGTTTATAGAGCACAATATTGAAAAAACATTTTTCTCCGATACTATCAGTTGACATTTGGTATTTCAAACAAAAGTGATATATATAATGAGAATGATCTATTTACAAACCTGCTGGAAGAAATATATATATATGGCTGTATGATGGGTGTGGTTTGAGAGCTTAACCCATCAAATCCTGGTTGTGGGTCCACTCAGAGCCCATCGTCCATGTGAGGTCAATAAAATGGGGACCACTTTTTGGGAAATCAACAGTGATTCTAGATTTGAAGTTTTCGTGGCTGCAAGGATCCATGCTCTTTGGTTTTTTGGGGTAAAGTCACGTAGGTTAAAAAAAAACAAATAAATTAAATCACGACGTTTCGGAGGCAACACAAGCTTCCGTCTTCAGGTGGAACCGTCACAGCAAACTTACTTGATACAGCAAAACTACAGTACTGTATCACCTGAAGACGGAAGCTTGTGTTGCCTCCGAAACGTCGTGATTTAATTTATTTGTTTTCTTTTTTAACCTACGTGACTTTACCGAAAAAAACAAAGAAATCAACAGTGGTTGCCCTGTGAAGAGACAGGGTTACCCCCGAGACGGCAGTACAAATCAGCACCATTGGACACTCAAATGAGCAGAGAGAGAGATGCATTGTCGTGTCTTCGGCCGGGGGTTATAAAATAACATCACAAAATAAATATTTACATAATCGGATGGTTCGGCTTCAAGACTCTGTGGTGCCCGATGTCTGTGGAGGCCATTACTAACCGCGAGGGCACTGCTAAGCCTCATCCAGCGATGCGTGTTGATTCATGAACATAAATACATCGCGGAGGTCACAGAGTGCCACGTGGTTTAAGGTCACTGAGAAATGCTCTCGGGAGGAAATGAAATAAAATAAAAATCCACGGTGGTGGTGATACTCCTTAGCAGGTGTGGTGTCTTATTTTTTTTTATTGTGCAACTGCCAACATTAAGTGACTCAAACGTAAGAGCACAATGTTGTGTTGACTCACAGCGTCGCGGAGACGAAACACGTGCGCGCCTGCCAAGCCACACCTAATGTCGTACATGTACATCGAACGATTTAAACAGCACATTCACGTGCTGATAACCACAAACATTTAAACATACGATACATGGCAACCGATAACATTTGCCAAGGGCGTGCGCGCGTGTGTGTGTGTGATTTGCAGGGATATAATCTACAGTAGCCTAACGAAGAAAAGAATACATGAACAATTTTGATGTCAAATCTCAACAAATGAGAGTAAAAGACTATGTGGGAAAGACAATTATCTTGACGCAAAAAATAACGATTTTAAATTGAAATCGTACCCATTAACCAACGATTTGAGGTGCAATGTTGCGTATAAAGAGCAAGTGTTGTAACCTGCGCTTCATGCGACAGACCTCAGTATTCATAATTAAACACTCAACAGTGTAATGATACGTGGATTCATCAAGTAAAATTGAATTATTAAGCTCGCGTCAGAGGCGTCACGTGTGTACGAACAAATCATGTTTTACTCATACAACTATCGTCATACTAATTACTCATTTATCCAGGAAAGGCACGCTAAGTTGGAGGACTTCATTTTTACGAGGGTTTTACTGCATTGCGGTTGTAATTTTAAGATGTCTTCATCAAATTGAAGATGAGTGTTTATTACACAAGCGGGAGGAAAGCAGAGCACTCGAAAAAAAACTCGAGCCGTGCAAGGAGGAAACACTCTGTCCCTTTACAGATGGCAACAGATGTAAGTTATTCATATTCTTAGGTTTTTTTGGTAAAGTCACGTGGGTAAAAAAAATAAAATTAATAAAAGTAAAATAAAAATAAAATTCACGACGTTTCGGAGGCAACACAAGCTTCCGTCTTCAGGTGGAACCGTCACAGCCCGACAGCTGTATCAAGTAAAATGAGGGATTACAGGAGATACCACTCCGTATATATAATGGTTGAGGGGGGCAGGGCCAGGAACGGCACACTTTTTATTAATATGGTAAGGTGAGGCTTAAGACTAAGTAAGTTAGTCCGCTTGCGGTGCTGCTTTCTCCTTGCAAGCCAGGGTATGGCACCTCCTGGACACCAACGCGAAAGGGCGTTTCACAACATATGTGTGATCGACCAACGTTCGCCTAATCCACAGCGCGGGATTAACTACTGGATGTGATTCCCGCACCTGCGATGAGCACGGTTGGCTATGTATGGCGCGAAAGAAGTTCAACATGCAGCAGTGCATGCATGTGCGTCACCCACTGCGCCGTGTAGGTGCACTCATGCGTTTTACCTGGTTCCTTTAGCCACTAGAGGCCGCTACCACTGACCAAAATGTAATGTTAAACTAAATTGAAATCCTGGAATCCAGTTGTTTTTAATCTTTACTGCAGCCTTGCACCCCTTGTCTTCTTAATCGTATTTTTTTTCACAATGCTAATAAATACATAGGGGTTTGGTGAAACAAATGAGTTGTACTTGCGTGCCCGTGCTTAATTTGTGTTTCGATGGATTACCTTCTAAAAAAAAAATCTGGCCATTTCTCGGACCCCCAGACAGGGCATTTCGCGTATCCCAGGTTCAGAACCACTGCTATAGTCGAATGGCCACTTTGGGTCGTGAATTTCGAGGAGAAGCAAATCGATTATAGCCCAAGTAAACTCCAGCTAGTGTGTCATAATACTGTGTAACACATTTTTATTTATTTTTTTTTGTTCCTGAGTAGTGTTATTTCCTAATTGCTTATGCCTCAAAAGTACAGAAAATGGCTATTATTCCCCACAAACTTTGCTTTTGTGACCAGGACAGTGATATTTAGAAATGTACATATTTTCCAGAACATTCCAGATAGATTCAGTGCTGAGTAAACTTGGAGTAGCTTATAGAACATTCTCGAACTTTCCAGTAATATAAATAGTAGTATAAATACTTAAGCCCACCAGTTCAGTTTAGTTCCAGCTGCCTAAGTGGATACATATATGCAGTTTTCTGAGATGGCATCAAGAGGCTGCAAGCATCCGACAGACGCATTTGGCTATATCTGCGGCCAATTAATCAAGACAAGAGCGAAAAAGCACTCTGTGGAAGCATCTGCTAAGATGTGTGAGGCCTAATAGGCATATTTCGGCATTCCTGTCGGGGATCAAGACAAACCCTGGGCACCTCATTTCACCTGCGAGTAATGCAAAAAAATCTGGAAGGTAAGATTGATAATTGTTGCTCGGTATTTTATATTACAAAATTTGTAAAAATTAAAAAAATTGTAAAGTTTTTAATAAAAAAATGTGTTACAATTTCCAATGTTATTGGAAAAATATATATCATATATGAAAAATGTTGCGAGAATCTCTTACACATTAGTCATTTATTTTTGTAAGATGGCACAGAGGGGAAAAGAGAGCCATGAAGTTCGCTATCCCAAGAATTTGGTGGGAACCCACTGACCACTCAAGCAACTGCTACTTCTGCATGGTGGACCCTTCCAAACGTGGGTTTGGCAAGAATGCACCTGCTATCACGTATCCAGACCTTCCTTCACCCATCGCCCCGGTGCCACACTTCCATGAGCTCCCCGTACCCACTCCTCCGGAGAGAGAGCAGCCGTCTTTAGAAGAGAGCAGCAAGTCAGAGAGCGAGGAAGACATTGTAGATCGAGATGACAATTTCAGAGGAGGAGCTGAGGAGAGACACCCATACAACCCCAACCAAAAAGACCTCAACGACTTGATCAGAGATCTTGGTCTCACCAAGTCCAATGCCGAGCTTTTGACGTCTAGGCTCAAGCAGTGGAACTTGTTGTATAAAAGTGTGCAAGCCACAGATCAGAGGAAGCGTCACCAACCTTTTTGCAGCTTCTACACCCGTCAAGATGGACTCTGCTTCTGCCACAATGTGGCCAGTCTGTTCGAGGCAATCAGAATCGCCTGTAACCAGAATGAGTGGCGCCTCTTCATTGACAGCTCATCCAGGAGACTCAAAGCCGTGCTGCTTCATCATGATAACAAGTACCCGTCTCTTCCCCTGGCTCACTCGGTACACCTCAAAAAGGATTACAACAGCATCAAGATCTTGCTGGATGCCTTGAAGTATGATGAGTACGGCTGGGAGGTCATCAGAGACTTCAAAATGGTGGCATTCCTGATGGGTCTCCAAGGCGGTTTTTACCAAGTTTCCCTGCTATCTTTGCCTTTGGGACAGCAGGGACACCAAGGCGCACTACCACAGGCAGGAGTGGACAATGCGGACCGAGTTCTCTGTGGGGAGGAACAACTTCAAGTAGGAGCCACTGGTGGACCCCCGGAAGGTGCCAATGCCACCACTGCACATCAAATTGGACCTTAAGAAACTATTTGTCAGAGCTGTAGATAAGGAGTTGGCAGCCTTCAAGTACCTTGAAGACTTCTTCCCTAAGCTGTTTGAGGCAAAGGTCAAAGCCGGTGTCTTCGTCACACCACAGATAAAGAAGATCCTGGAGTGCAATGAATTCCCCAAGAAGCTCACGAGTAAGGAGAAAGCGGCTTGGAACAGCATTCCAAGCCGCTGTTGAGACTGGTGAAGAACTACGGCACAATGGGCTGTAGGATGTCCCTCAAAGTCCATATCTTTGATGCTCACCTTGATAAATTCAAGGAGAACATGGGAGCGTACTTGGAGGAGCAAGGCGAGCGCTTCCACCACGATATACTGGACTTTGAACGCCGCTACCAATGACAGTATAACGAGAACATGATGGGAGACTACATTTGGGGGCTGATTCGTGAAAGTGATTTACAGTACAATCTTAAATCTCGAACAACTACTCACTTCTAAATCTTTTGTAGTAATTTTTGTATTACTTTAGTATAAATACATGTGAATTTTGATTCATATGTTGTTTTTTCTGACTTTATGTGAACGAAAAGACACACATTTGCCAGTTTTCTCATTGAAAACAGGTACATTTGAAAATATCACTGTCCTGGTCACAAAAGTAAAGTTTGTGGGGAATAATAGCAATTATCAAAAAAATTTCGGCACACGCAATTACGAAATAACACTTACTACCCAAGAACAGACATTGTGTTGCACTGTGTAATCCATACATTTTCCAAACTGGAAATTATCCCGTAAAATGTGCTCTTTCTTACAAAGTATCTTGCAAGCATTATGCAAACAGTATTTATATGTTCAGGCTCAAAGTGATCTACAGTCGTTTAATTATGTTGTCCTGAAATGTTGACAATAATTCAATCGCACCATCGAACTCGTTTTAGGATACAGTTGCCGTATAATATATCTAAGAAGCTTTCCAGAGTTATTCACGAAATTAGTCACGCAAGGTTGCACTAATTATTATTTTCACTTAAGTATTACCCCATTCAAGCACGTCGTAATGTTACTTTATTTGACACACAAATTCCACATTTCCTGGAAGAGAAAATTAAAAAAAGAGACGCCAGAAAATCATAGTGCAGCAAATGCATGCGTCTTGTGCGCGCAATATGGCGGAAGGGAAAACTTTAATATGCATTTATGTGAAACCATTTGAGAAAACGATTCCTGAACCTGGTCCAAAGGCTGAGTAACTAACCATGAGCCCACCGCTCAAGTTTTAGGAACCAAAGTTTCCCAAACTTCGCATGAGTGTGGTCCAAATAATACCATAACGATTGCAAACCTCAAAGGTTTATTAAAATGGAAGAAAATAAAAGCAAGGCTCATTTTCTAAAGTATTGTCGGTGGCAGCGTGTGTAGTTTCATGAAGAACAGATGTGACGCGCGGCATGGCGTGCCAGATTAATTTTCTTATAACCGCGATGCACGAAGCTCGCATGGCACGCGGCAAGCAAAAGGAAGGGGAGGAGGAAGCAGTAGGGCGGAGTAGGAGACGGCCCCGGGATGCCGGCAGCACACGCGACCTGCGCCCAGGTGCGGACGTTTCGTCTCTCGCCGACAACGCAGCCCGCTTTACTTGCGTGCGTCCTTGTTGATCGCTCCCCCTTCGCTCTGCCACCAGGGATCTTGACTCCGTAAGCTGCTCCCCCGTGTCGACAACGGGGGAGGGGTGGGGTGGGAGCTTCTTCCATCACGGGGCTCCGCCTGAGCAGAGCGAGCCTCCCCTTTGTGTTCGCCTCCTGTTTGTTTACATGCCAGCCGGCATTGACGCCCTGGTCGCATGCACGTTTTACCAGAATGGTTTTTAGTGCAGCCACCGATGTCTCCCATTGTTGCGTGGCCGTTGGGTAAACAGATATGGAATATGGTATTAGAAAGGCAATGAAAAAAAAAACGTTTTGCCGACGACAAAAAAATGCGTGCAAATGTTTCAATTCTCATTTACGAGAAATGTTCAGTTTTGTAAAATGTCCATTACAAAATTGGGTCTCGAAAATTGCTTCTCAAGCTGGAGTGCCAAAAAAACAGAGGCCCCCCCGCTTGAAAACGTTGAAACAAATTAACGGGACGTTCAAATGTGATATTGGTAGCTCCAAATTATCGGCAGAGAGAACGCAACGGGAAGAGGTGCAAGATGATGTGGCGGTTTTGAAACGTAGAAAGGAACGCTCACAGTGGTCGACCCTTGATGTACACAAATCCGATGCTGGATGAAGGGCCTCCTTACGTCCTGTTCGTCACGAGGCTTGTTTAACTCCAAAACCGTTTGAAGAGTAACACTAATAATAATGTAATGATTACATTCAAAGCGAAAATTGTCAGTATGCTTTGGCAATATGATACCTGCAAGTCTCTCCCCTTCAAAAAGCACGCAACTTGTGACTTTATATTTCCTGCGTTTGTGCTGCTGCTAGACTTGACTATTGTTTACCAGGCCCCTTCTCAACACAGCACCAGAGGATAACCAATGCATCTTGGCAGACTTAGACGATCGCAGATAAAACCGGAATGTAATCCATTAGCCTGCGCTTATGCATTAATAAACGGGCTGAAAATTATGAAACACAATCCATTAATTAATCGGGGTTCACTTAAAAAACAACAACCAAATAAATACGTTCGTGTTCTGAAACTTCTGGATTCAGTTCACAAACAGTGGAATATTTTTTGTGTTTGGATAACCCGCAAGTTGGATGCGTCACGTTGCATTCGTAACGCTGTACTGTAGGTGGTCACATTTAAGTGATTTCCTTCGTCTTGCGTCTGCTTTATGTCCCGATAACTCAATCGTACAGACTCCAGCATAAGAAATAGAGGCTGTAATGGGCATTCTCCGTATTCGGTATATTTTAATATTAATAACGTTTATGCATATACATTACAGACATGGAACTAAATAGTGTTGTGTTCTACGAGAAACAGAGCCAAGGTGATTTAACCCGAATGTTTTCACATGGCATTCATTTTAGGTAAATTCATCTTAAGTCAATTCATCCCCTGGAAGGAACTCTTTAGTTTCATTCGCTGTACACCGATACATCTTTATTAAAATCCTTGACTTTTATTCCACATTTTTCTTACGACATTAATTTACATATTTATGTACAGTCACGTGAACGCACAACAAACCCTCAACACCAGAAACGTTTTACGATATATTGTAATTATTTTCTTTACAATAAGGCACTACGAAAATAAGTCCCTTGCATGCACGAGCCCCCTACGTTACACGATACACCAAGAGACGCCGAACCGCGAGGGGCCATGACCTTTAAAGCAAACGCACGTTCAAATCCACGATCCACGCTCAAATGTACAGAGGGTACGGGCAGCTTACGATGTTTTACTCTACTCGACAAAACAAAAACTAAATAAAAACGAGTAGTCGGGGATTTACGTGTGGACTCTACACACGGTTGGCTACGCACGGTCCGAAAAAAGTTCAACGCACGGACGGGGCGAAAGAAGTTCAATGCACGTACGTACATCCCTGCCTCTCCTGATAGGTCTCTCCAAAACAAAGGCGGCTCATATATATATCCATTAACACCGGTCGTCTCGACTCGTACACAATGTCGGCACGCGCTGCCACACAGGAACGAACACTGCGCATTGCGAATGTCCGTGAAGATAATTTTCTGAACGGTGGGGGGGGGGGGGGGGGGGGGATCAGCTGTTTGTGAATATTTACCCCCAACATGACTCCAACACGACTGGCTTTCTTCTGTGTCGACTACCCAGATATGTTTGCATCGCGTGAAGATTTACACACAACCTTTCCCCAAAACTGCCATATTCAATAAAAAAAAAACGGCATACAATTGCTTCTTAAAAATAAGTATCACATTCATAAATTAACGAGTAAATAAGACACGTTCTTTACTGGCGCAACAAAAAAAACCGAATTCACCAAAACTAAATTGTTGAGGCGTAACGAAAGGCATCGTAAAGTAATACGCTACACCGAGCGTGGTGAACGGGTGTGGGAATTTTTCTCTTTTAGCACTCCTATCGTGTTTTTTAAAAATTGTTTGCGGTTATAACTTACTGAGCCGCCCCGGTACTGGACATCTGTGTGAAAAAGAGATTCATAGCTCATCGGATTCCTCCGGGCTAAATACAGATTTCCGATTCTGAATCGAGCCAAGGTTCGTTCGGCGAGAGATACCAAAATACGTCGCCCTCGCGTTACTGAATCCTCGTTTGAACAGGAGCACAGCGGAGCCGTGTCTGTCCTCAGCAACGCCTTTTCAATACACGGCGCAAATGGTATTAAAAAGCGTCGTTCGACTCGCAGTCGCAGTGGTATTGCAGTGCTGTGCGTTGTGCACGCTGCGCTTGGATGAGGCGAGCGAGCAGAGGTCCGAACCTGCAGTGCAACTCAATGTCCGCTGAGCCATTGGCAGCACGTGCGGACTGTAGTGTGGCCAGGCGATCCCTTTGGGAAGAGGACGCTTTGATGCCGGGGCTATTTTCCCACTGCTGCAGCGATGACGCCAGTGCATTTATAAGTGCTGCTCCGTAAAAAAATATTTTTAAAATAACAACAACAATAATAATAATATCAACCTACCCATAATTTACAGACATATTCATTCTTGCGCCATGCATTGCCTCACGGCTGTTTCCCACCATAAGGATCATCATCATCATCATCTCGGCAACAGGGAGATCCTAATCCTCGTAAGATTTCACAAAGGAGCCATCTGGTAATTCAGCAACGGGGAGATTTTCTTCCAATACGGTTGTGACCCTGGCACAAGCGCAGTGTCAGGATTTTATTTTATATATGTATTTTTTTTACAGCCAAACAAACATATGCTGCGCACGCTTCATTGTGGTTCCAAAGTCCTCCATCGTGGAGCCAAAGTCAAAATTTAATGCAACAAAAACGAGCAAAGGGGGCATTTCTACATTGTACTACTTTTTAGTTAGTTGTCTCTACAGGTTCATTTATTCTCACGTTTACCTACTGAATCAGCAACTGCCGTCTGGAACGCTCTTCCAATATTACGAAGCCACTGGAGTTAAGCAACTTTTGAATCTAGACTGGAAACTAATTTCTTTAGAACTGAATTTTGTGTTTAGTTTGTTGTCCTTCCCCCGCACCTCCAATGAGCACGTACGGTGCAAAAGAAGTTCAACAAACAAACACACACACATACTCCACACCAAGCACAAACACCCGGCACACTACACACAAAATACAAACATTCGTGCGCTAAGGCACGCACGCACGCACGCACACTCAGAAAGGTAGCGAATCCTTGAATAAGTTATCCACAAAGTCGGGCGTCTGCACGAGGTCTTCCATCTTGAGGTAGAAGATGCGCTGCAGGCCCATCATGCTGAGCGAGTGCAGGAGGCCGGGCTGACTCAAGAGTTGCCTCACCTTGGCCGGCCTCGCTCCCAGCGAGTCCAGGTGCTCGCGCAGGATGCGCTGCACCTTGTTTCTCAGCTCCTCCACCCGCTTGGGATGCCGCAGGCCACGTCGCTCTGCACGCACGAGCATCACCGCAACTTGTTAAACCTCGTCCCGGAAAGACACGCCGTCAAATTCGTCGCGTGTTCATTATTTTTGTAAGGGCGGTACCCGCTCACGTCTAGAGTGCTTTCATCCTCGCCAATTAATTACAACAAGAAGAAGAATTCATCTTCTTGGTTCTTTCGGTAAAGTCACGTAGAAGGGAAGTAATAAAAATAAAAAAAAATTCTCACGACGTTTCGGCCACAACGCAAGCAGCCGTCCTCTTCACCTGAGGACGGCTGCTTGCGTTGTGGCCGAAACGTCGTGAGAATTATTTTATTATGTTTTATTTTATTACTTCCCTTCTACGTGACTTTACCGAAAGAACCAAAAAGATGAATCCCTGCAGTCACGAAAGCTTTAAATCGAAAGAAGAAGAATTGTTTGATTTGCGTGCAGCGGCATCGCCGAGGACTTTCCGACGAGCATCGCGCTACCACCTGCAACAAACAAATCCCGAGCGAGACCGCGGCGATGCGGGAAGGCGGCCAGCAACCAGCAGCAGCAGCAGCAATTGCCCAAGCTCTGTAATCCTATGTTGAAACATTTGGCCAACCTTCACTCAATAGCGTTTAATGCGCCTGTCAATCACCAGGCTTCATTGTATAAGTGTTACACAGCGACAAGCTGTAGTACACACACGAGGGTGTGGCATTGCTGCCTCTCTCCCTACAAAATACATCCACCCACAGCCCACTATGGTCACATTCAGACCCTATGCACATTTATATTGTGGTTAACAGTCCTATTATTAATATTATTCTTGCTACACATGAGCGATGTTTTAAACGTCGTAAATCCCAATTGCATTTCGAGTCCTATTGCTACTATTAAACACGAGCGACGTTTTAAACTTTACAAATCCAAATAATGGATTTTGAGTTTGTGTTTTTTAAATTATTATTTAGCATTATTATTTTTACACACGCGCACGCGCAGCGAATTGTTGTGACACGGGTGGCGGCGGCATTCAAAGCGTGCCGGTTTGGACAACAAACACCAGGGCGGGAGCACTGTATCGTGCAAACAGGCGTACGGTAGAGGTGGTAACACAAAAAAAACAAAAACAAACCAACACACTAGGCCGAATTACGCCCAGCGCACCGCCGGTGCCGTTCGCGCCTTTTCAGAGGCATCCGCGCGACGTTCAGAGACCGTACCGCCGAAGAGGACGGCCGCGGACAGGCAGGCCACGGTGGCGATGTCCGGCTCGAGCGCCTGCAGCGTGTCGGAGAAGCTCAGGATGCTGTAGAGCCACTCGCCAAACACGCGCACGCACTGGCTGAGGTGCAGCGCCAACCCCGTGCAGAACACCAGGCGCTCCTCCTTCGGGTTTGACCTGCGCGAACCACCCCCAAGGGAAGCCACCATTAATTAGTCCGCGGTGCCAGAGCAGGAATGGTGGCAGTAAAAGGTAGCGAAACTGTAACGGCACTGATGTATTTACACGGCCAATACAAGTCAATTCATTGATGGCCAACTCATTTCAAATGGTCATCGCGTAATTCGCTCTTGTTGTACGTGTGCACGTTGAACTTCTTTCACACTGCACGTTGCCAACCGCGCTAATCAGAGGTGACAACAATAGAGAAATTGGAACCCGCTTGAATGACATCACCGCAGGTGGTACCGCCAAGTGAAATGTCTGGCCTGGGCTCACGGACTAAGTTGGGTGAGCAATCCCCATCAGTGCTGCTCTGACCTGGCGCTGCGTGTAATAGATGCCACTGAAGTCCTTGTACCACGGGTCAACATGTACGGGATATTGATTACGTAGATATATGTTGTGCACTCAACTCACAGTCGGAAGACAGTGAGTTCAAATGCCATCTGGAAATCATACTGAGGCGACGTAATATTAATAGTAGTGGCATTTATTTATCCAAGAAGGCCTCGCTGAGTCTTGAGACTATTTCTTAGAAGGGGTCATACATTGGAATGTTTGGCCACATCTAGCGATGATAGTTTGGAAAAAATGGGGGAAAACAGAGCACCGCACTTGAGATTAGCACTGTTGGCTACGTACGGTGGGAGAAGATCAACACACGTACAAATAAACTGTAAGGTGCAGCGCGTGGAGATGACCTCCCTTCACGTGGCGATAACCTACCTTAATCGAGGTTTTTGGGTTAGATTGCATGAATATAAATGTGTCGCTAAACCCGCCACCACCCAATATAGCCAATTAGTGAGGTTTGTCACGTAAACAAAACATGCCAATTCGTTACCAGTACAGCACACCGGTGTGTAGGAGAGTAAACCCACAACATTTACAATTCGAGTACGAAGTTTCGCCAGCAATTTCAACCGGCATCATCAGGCGACAGCCAGAGTTGTGGCGAAATCCTCCTCCCGTTTCGGCCTTAAATAGATGGATGAAATGCGATGTCGTCTCGCCCGTGAGTGAGCCATCAGGTGCGCAGGCCAGAGATGACCTACCTGTAGGCGAGCCTGAGCAGGAAGAGCTCCAGGTAGGAGGAGCTGAGCAGCAGCTCGCGGTCGCAGCCGGGCAGCTCCTGGAAGCTGGGCAGGCGGGCGGCCCAGTCTCGCGAAATCTGCACGGAGCCCGAGAGCAGCTCGTAGAAGTGGTGGACGTGCTCCGAGTCCAGGGGCACCTTGGAGCGCTCGCTCATCGGGTTCATCTGCGGGGCGAGAGGGGGGGCGGGGGGTCACGTCAAGCCGAGGCGCGCCAACGCGGGCGTGCGATGTTAAATCAGCGCCGCGGCACCACCCCGCGACTGCCGTGCTTGTGCGGCGTGCGGAGGGCCTCGTCCAACGCGGCCTGTGTGCTGCACCTCCCCCCCAAGGTGTTGGTGTAGAGGCAGTCCCCTGGATGTTTGTACGCTGGATGCCGAACTCCTTTCGCACAGCACGTGGTCAACCGTGCTGATCGTCAAGCTGAAATTGTGTGCTCCCCTCGCCATCACTGCTTAATGCAGCATGTTTACTAAGTGGTTGTGGATAGTGTACTAATCCTGTTGCCGCTACGCAAACTCATTTAGTAACCCCACCCCTCCGCCCCCCCCCCCACTCTTTTATCTAAAAGTTGAGTCGCCCATGCAATGTGCCTGACATGTATCTGTGCCCCAGTCCCGACGTATATGTGTGTACGTTGAACTTCTTTCGCACCGTACGTAGCCAACCGTGCTCATCGGCGGTGCGGGGGAAAGGACAACAAGCTGAAGTGGCGTGCTCTCCTCGCCATCATCACCACCACCACCACTCAATGTTCATACCGCTCCTCCCACGCAGCACATCCCAATGTGCACTGCAGCAAGTGACGCCCCCCCCCCAGGGACCCCCCCCCCAGGGACCCCCCCCCCGGTGGCAGCTGTCCCTGTGAGGTACAAGTTGAATTGAGCACCGGGCCATGTTGAAACTGTTACGTGGCTTTCCAATGCAGTCGTTTGGAGTTATGTTGGTGGAAGGCATGCATTTAAATCTTGGCTCGTCATTCAGTTGGCCGTTGATAGCAAGTCAAAACTGGTCGTACTGCGAGACCAGGACCTCAGCATTTCGCTCAGATTCGCTCTCACGAGAATTGAACACTGCACAACGGGTGCATTCATGCGGCATCCACTTGGACTCTTCTTCAATACGTAAAAGGTGCAGCACGCAGCCAGCTTCATAAAAATTGCGAAATGCGCTTCTAATATCGCTAAATTGTGGTAGTTACTGAGCAAATATTCTTGTGAACTGCCATGCTTCACCAGCGCATGAACCAAGCCTGTTTACTCTCACACCCTCAATGGAAAACACATGTGCTGTGCAAAAGAAAAAGCACACGGCTCTTTTGATTTGATATTTACTCAAATGTTTCATGCAGATAGAAAATCGAGGCTCTGAAGGTTCAATTGGACTAAATGTATCCGTGCTTCCATTTAACAATTTATCTTTTAGATTTGAAGCTTTCGTGACTGCAAGGATTCATATTCTTAGGTTTTTTCGGTAAAGTCTATTCTTAAGCCTCACCTTACCATATTAATAAAAAGTGTGCCATACTTGGCCCTTCCCCTCTTCAACCATTATATATACGGAGTGGTAGCTCTTGTAATCTCTCATTTACTTGATACGGCTGTCGTGGCTGTGACGGTTCCACCTGAAGACGGAAGCTTGTGTTGCCTCCGAAACGTCGTGATTTTTATTTTATTTTACTTTTATTCATTTTAATTTTTTTACCTACGTGACTTTACCGAAAAAACCTAAGAATACTTTATCTTTTATTTATGCCAATGTTTTGCCACGAGCAGCGACAGCCTTGGCAGGGAAGTGAGAAGCCTCTTAAGGTGGTTCTGCCAGTGCCGGTCCAGTCTGCGTAAGTCAGCGACTGCGAGAAAGCCCGGCTCTCTTGCTGCTGCTCTTCGGGGCCAGGTACATCTGAATCGAGCACGGGGATCGATTCCCAGAATGTTTCTCTTTAAAAAAAAACAACAATCACCGAGCCGAGACAATTGAGATCCGCCCGCGCACGTGAACATTTTAATTTAGTAAGATTGACCCGGGCCTGGAACAACAACAAAAAAACACATCGCGGAGACAATGGCTCAGAAACCTTAGACGTGCGTGCGCTTCTAAACCGCCAGGGCACTTCCCACCATTCTACGCAAACGTTGACGTAAGGGCAAGGACACGGCACGTGCCGTGCAGTCTGCGTCTCGGATGCCCGATCACGATGTGCCTGCCCCCAAAGCTTTGCGAAGAACACAAAGTTGAGCAACGTGGGCAGCCTCTGCACGAGCACAAGTCACGGCGAAGGAATTGTACAAGACAGCTATTTTTGTATTTATATAAAGCAGTGGTATCCCGGTGCAACAAACAAAATTAAGTGGGTAACAGGATTGATGAGATCGTTGAACTGCGATAGTATGTAATGCGGTAAACAATGGTCCTTATGGATAAATACATTTCTGTTAGCATTTGTTCAAGGGATGCAAACACGGGTACCGACTTCAAGTTCACAGAATATCAATAGCTGGGTGAACCTTGTTTAATCACGCCACAGGGTGACCTTACACTGAGTAAAAGCCATCCACAAACACATCATATCTCAAGAGAGTGTTCCAACACAGAAATATTTTAAAAACAGGGGAAGGTATTGTAAACACACAGCATTTCACAACCACCATTACAATCCATGATTAACTTCTGGGTCAGATCGTGTAGAGTGAAATGTGTGTCGTCCACCCTCCTCCACCCGACACGGTCAATGAACAGAGCTGTCACGTGACGAACAAACGTGGCAAATTTTTACGACTGCTTTGGCAGCACCGGCGCGTGTGGTGTTGGAGAGATATCCACACGCACAATTTTACTTTCGATATTAGGAAGCTACTGGAGCCGTGTACTTTTAAATCGAGTTTGAAAACCAATTCATCTCGAACTGATTTTCGTGCTTTTTGTTTGTTGGCCTTCCCCCGCACCTCCGATTTGCACGGCCGGCTGCGTACGGCGCGAAAGAGGTTCAACATACTGTACGCACGTACATCTGAAGCCAAGTCAATTTTATTTTTGCTTCAACACGTGGCGCGCTTCTCTGGCACAAATATTCCACTGAGAAGTGCCATTACATGAATACTTATATGAACATAAAAAAAACTATTTTTTATACAATGAGAACGAATATATAACAACGGATAGTCGTCTCACCAAACGGTTAAAATGTTGTAGACCGCTCTCCAACACGGCGATGTTTCCGAGGCAGGAATAAATCGGCACGCTTGTTCACGCGACAACTCGACTCTCTGGCCGGCATTTGTTGAACTTCTATTCTGAGCATTAAGACGCCTGCACAGGAGAGCGGGCACGTTCGGCAACGGGGCGAGGGCGGAGGCAAGCGGACAGGAGGGGGATAAGAGAAAGAGAGAAAACAAACAAACGGAGCAGCAAGGCGAGTCGCACACCTGTGAGAAGTCGAGCTGAGAAGTGGCCGGCCAGACCTCGACGTGCGCTTGCACCAGCTCCTGCAGGTAGCTGTCGTAGGGGGGCTGCCGCGGCGCGCCCTTCTCTGCCGTCGGCGCCGGGCCCTTCGGCTTGGAGGGCAGTCGGCCCCTCCTGCCCTTCAGGTTGTCCGTGCGCACCACTGCATCCCCACACAGGTGGGCCTCCCGATTGTTATTCGCACAACAACAACGACAACAGCGACAGCGACAATAACAGCGCAGAAAGTTCACGTCACATCTAAATATCCGCGGAGAGAGGCAACCTCTGCTCAACGCGCGTCAATAATATTTTTCTATTTAAACTGAAAAATATAAACCTGCGGGGCTGCATTGGCAGCGGTGTACGTGCAGCGGAGGAGTACAACTCCCTCCCTGTCGTTGTCATCAACGCTGATTTCTCATAAATATATAAAATAGATTCGTGACTCTGACGATGGGCCCTGCAGAATGGCCAACGCCTGGGCATCGGCCCGATCCCTATCGATATTTACCTTCGAATGGCCACCGAGAAGTGGTGTAGTGTACAGTGTAGTGTATAGTGTAGTGTATAGTGTAGTTTATAGTAGTGTAGTGAATAGTAATGTATAGTGGAGTGTATAGAGTAGTGTATAGTAGTGTAGTGTTTAATAATGTATAGTTTAGTGTATAGAGTAGTGTATAGTAGTGTAGTACGTATGTTGAACTGTTTTCGCACCGTACGTAGCCAACTCTGCCAATCGGCGGTGGGGGACAATGACAACAAACTAAACGCAACACAGAGCAGTTCTAAAGAAATCAGTTTTCTATCTTCATTTAAAAGTGCATAGCTCCGGTGGCTTCCTAGTATGGTAAGGAAGAGCGTTCCAGACGGCCGCAGGAGTGCAACAGATGCCCCCGCCCGCGTCCCTCCCCCCTCACCTTCTTTGATCATGCCCACGGTGAGGCACTTCTGGTAGCGGCAGTACTGGCAGCGGTTGCGCCGACGCTTGTCCACGGGGCAGTTCCTGTTGGCCAGGCACACGTACTTGGCGTCCTTCTGCACCGTCCTCTGTGAGCAGTCACAACATCGCGCACGCAAGAGGGGAAGGGTCGAGAGGTCACCGTGGCCCACTGCGGACCGACGCCGCCGCAAGGCGCACGGACAGCCGACCACCACCGTCTGTGACAATAGAGTCCCACTCATCTGGCACGAGTCCCAACCTTCCGCTGATTTTTTTTTACTACCCACCACCAGGTAAGGCCCACTGAGCTCTCTGGCTCGTTTTCAAGAAGTGACCTGGTGATCGCAAATGATGGCCCAATGAAGTGGATTATCACGTGGAAATGTATAGCAGCAGCCAAATACACCATTGGAACCTCATTTGCCAGTAGCAAAATATGATAATTGGTTTTTACCCTTTTATCTGGCAACAAAACTGACACCCTTTTACAAGGAGTCATTAGCAGCCAAATAATCAGCAGGTTTCTAAATGCAGAGGGAACAACCGCAGGACCCGGAGAAAAATCCACGCGACCATGGGGAGAGAATCACGCAAACTCCAAATATATATGTATATACCAAGCGAGGTAGTTAACATCTCGCCATCGTGGCTTAGAAACGATAAGCTATGTTTGCCACTCCAATACGTTGTGGATTACTTGTCACGCTGCAAATACACACCACTCATCGCAAAGCTCCTGTTCTTAATGCCTCCAATTATTTAATGCCGCGTATTTTTTTCTCTCTCCCAAATTTCAAGTTGCTTACCCTTATCCCGCCGTCAACGTTAAAGTTACAAATCTATAACGCGCCGCACGTTTCAAAGGCACGCTAAATCACAGACGAGCGGGGAGACAGCCGGAACCGGCTCTACCAACAACTGCCCATGCTCCTTCTTGGTGCTACATTTGGGATATTGGACAAATTCCACTAACGAGTGATTACACTTAAAATGCTACTCGAAATAAAGAATGAACGCACCGAATGATACACGTTCCAACGGCCTGCCGCATCGCCACAGCCACCACCACATTCACCGATGGCATTTGCAGGACTGCATCGCGGTTGCAGTTTGTATTTATAAAGAGTGATGGTGCATTTGTATCTCGTGACAATCCCTCTCTAGCCGTCACGCTGGATGCCACCGTGGTCACAGAATTCGCCGAACGACCACAAGATTAAGGGTTCATATCCCATCAGGGGTGTAATGGCGCATTACATGCTTCAGGTTACGATAACATAAATCGAATTACACGTTTTGCAATTTGTGTGTTTTATTAAATATATCTCGATTGGAATATATGATGTATGTAATGTGTTCACGTGACCCATGTAGCCACTGGAGGCCGTTACATTCACCAGGAATGGCAAAAAGAGAATCGATTCTTGAAGTCAATCACGAACCATGAATTGTGACAATTGATCAATTCACGAGCGGTGGAGGGGTGGGGGGGTTGTGTTAATTGTTACAACCATGAAGACCGGGTCAGAGTCAACTCAGCCATTCACCCCTTGGGGGAATGATAAAAATACGTGCCACTTTATGGGAAATCAACAACGGCTGTCCTGCACAGAGCCTGCCCCCTTCCCCCCGGAATGCGAAATTTCCACAACCAGCTGGCGACGCGTAGGATGAGCGGCTCAACCCCAGCTAGGGGAGGAGACACTCGCGGCTGTTGCAGCCCTCGTCGTGCCAACTCGGGGTGGTAGGAGGAGGAGGTTGCCTGCTCACCTTGAAGAAGCCCTTGCAGCCTTCGCAGGTGCGCACGCCGTAGTGCTGGCACGCCGCGTTGTCTCCACACACGGCGCACATGCCCTCGGCCGCCGGCGGAGATTCGCCAACCGGAGGCATCATCGTCGGCATGGCCGACCGAGAGGAGCCGAGCCGGGGGACTCCTCTGCCAAAGTCTGGAGTGCAGGAATCTGGCAAATGCTGATGCTGATGCTGCTGCTGCTGCTGCAGCAGGTGCTGCCGCTCGATACCAAAGTCTCCGCCGTCGTGGAACGGCCCGGCGTAGTGGGCCGGCTCGTAGTGGCGCTGCGAAGCCGGGCTCGGGTGGAAGCCTGCCATTTTCACGGCGGAGGGACATTCGGCGAGTGGCCGCATCCTGCCGAGGGTGTGCTCCAAGTGCGACAGGGCCATCGGGTACCCCGGCATGGCCCGTCCCACCGGCAGGGCGTCCATGCCGGGGTGAAGTCGCCTCTTGACCGGGGGCGATGCCTCCGGGTCTTGCAGGGGGCCGGCGGCCTGGGGCGGGCCGTGGTCAGAGTCCGGCGGCATGGGGAATTTCGTCAAGAAGTGGGGGCGCCTTTCGGCCGCGATGGGCCTCGCGAAGCCGTACCCCGGCATCCCTTGCCTGTAAAACGATTCCGAGTCGCCGGGATGGGGTGGCAGGTAGATCTTCATGCCCGGCGGGGAGGGGATGGTGCACGGCACGGGCAGCTGCTTGAAGCCCATCGTGTGCGGCGCCGGCTTCCTCTCCACGCTGGCGAGGTTGGTGAGGCTGTACTGGACGTGCGAGCCGCCCTGCTCGTCCCACAGCGACGGCTGCAGCGAGTCAATGGACTCGGGCGTGGAGGGAGGGGACTGCTTGTAGAAGTCGATGGGGCTCAGGTCGCGGGTGAGGAAGCCGTGCACCATCGGCCGCTCCTCCTTCACGCCGTGGTAGGGGTGGTACGCGAAGTCGCCCGCCTTGCCGTCGTAGTGGACGACCCCCGCGGGCGCGTCGGCGTTCGTCAGCTCCATGTTGAGCCTCACAAACTCGGGAGTGTCCATGAGTCGGGGACTCAGGTCCAGCGGCCGGGGGTCGCGAAGCGGTCCGGCGCTCGGCTCTCGTCCGCTCGGCGATCTGAGCACGTCCGCCGCCGCTGCGCTCATTTGTCGGTCGGTGCTTCGGAGGTCTGTGCAAGGGGGGAGAGAAGAGAGAACGGCGCACGGGAGCGTGAGAAGCGTGCGCGTGCCTGCTCGCGCGCGCACGCGCGTGTGTGCGCTGAACTTTTTTTTTCGCACCGTACGTAGCCAACCGCGCTAATCGGAGGTGCGGATGGAAGGACACCAAACTAAACGCAACAAAAAAAAGTAGTTCTGAAGAAATTTGTATTCAATCTGACGCTCAAGCAAGCGTTGAGCAAAGAATGGCTCGCTTGTAAATTTGCACTTTGGTGGTGCTGAGCCAGTGATTGAAATTCCACATTCCTATGCATTGGGGGGGGGGGGGGGGGTGGCAATCGCGGTCTTTATATGACAATTACTGCTGTTGTAACATCCCATTTCTAGATTTATATCCGATCTAAATTCTTTATCACGATTACATAACGGCCCCCGTAGGTGCATGAGCGCCAACTGGAAGAGCCGACGATGCGTGGTTTGCTTGATGGGCTGTGCTTATCCCCCCCCCAACATGAACGCACAGGTACGCACAGGCAAGCACGCACCTTTACTGCCGATCGTTTAAACCATTATCTACGAAACGGCGACGCGTTCGGAGAGCGCGCAGGCCCCGTCACCAACGGTCCAACCGGCCGATCTCTCTATTCGTAAATTGTTCGCGAGAATAAAATAGCTTCGAGCGCGGCAAATGTTATTTTTTCAAAGTTTTTTTTTTGCGTCGGTTGCCCCACGAGCCCGTGTTTTAATATCGCGCGCGGACGTCACCTGGGCGGTACACCTTTTTCCTCGAGGCTCTCGGTCAATTGTTTACGGAGCCAAACACGCTGCGTCACCTTGGCAGCCGGCCACAGAGAGCCGAGGGTGTCCACGCGACACTATTTCGAGGGCTCTGGTACCCGGGACAGCTTTCGCCGGGCGTCGTTTAAATAAAAAAAACTATTTTTTATTGCGACAATTTTTTTTTTAATTAGCAGGTAAAGCCCCACTGAGCTATAGAGAGCTCTTTTTCATAAGCGGGCTGGACATCACAAATGACAGCTCAACGAAGTGACTCATCATCGCGGGGCAATTTATAGCAGCCAAATACTCTAAACGCATGATGTTGATTTTAAATGTGGAGGCAAAAACCGGGAGGAGCCGGAAAAGAAAAGAAAAATCCACGCGATCACGGGGAGAGCATGCCTACTCTCCAAATATACAGCAGCAGGCGTCAGGGTCTGAATTGAACCCACGACCTCCTGCATACCAGGCGAGGTAATTAACATCTCGCCATCACCGAGATGGCTCCAGACCCACGAGAAACATTCCGACGCGCACTTTGTCTCCTCGTTCAAACACGCTGCGGATGCACTTTATCTAGTCTCGTCAAAGACCGTAAATCATCACGTGAACTCCGGTCATCTTCGCAGCAACGGCTTTTAGCTTAAATTTCGATTTAAAGCTTGCCAGTCAAACAAAAAGGGTCAGCGCATCGCGCGGAGCTTTCAAGTGCGCTCCTGCGGCCGTCGGGAATGCTCTTCCTTCAGATACTAGCAAGACTCTGGCGCTGTGCACTTTGAAATCTAGATCGAAAACTCATTTTAAAGAAGTTACTCCTTGCGTTTTGTGGTTTAGTTTGTTGTCCATTCCCCCGCACCTCCGATTAGCACGGTTGGATACGTACGGTGCGAAAGACGTTCCACATAAAGTATGTATGTGCATACATAGAGCATATGATATAGCAATATAATTAATATAACATTGTAATAAATTATATGTATATATAAGAGTTTTTTTTTTTATACGGTTCCACACTATGAAAAGTTGTTGACTGACAATTCGAACGCTGTAGCCTAATATTTATTTCATAAACATTTGATTGCTTTGTTCAATCGCTATTAATGTGGCTTTTTTTAGCGATTCGCATTCTCCCGGGAATAGTGGCGCACCACATCTCCAATTCAACACGTGGTTCTGCGTCGATCTAGGACCCGTGTCTAACAGAGAGGGATCCCTTGCCTATGAATATCTGGCGGTTCACCAGGATTGGCGTCAAGCGAGCGAGATTCCGGCCGATGAGACACTTAATGTCCGAAACCAGTCCAGAGTTCGCTTGCATTAAGACCAATGGTGCTGGGGAAACGAAAGCCACGTGGCGCATGGGATGCGTAAAATAATAAAACATAAAAACAATGTACGTGATGAGACAGATATGGGAAGGTGGAATATTATTGTCTGCGTTTTTGTTTGTTGTTGCCGCTGATACTTTCCATAACGATGGTTAGTTTTTTCGTGCTAAGAGATGGAAAAACACAGCAAGTAGTTTGCCATCTTCGCTCGATCTGTTACGTCGGTGGTGGGAGCTGAATGCTACATCAGTAGGCATCAAGATGGTTTGATCGAAACGACATTGAACCTCTAGCTCTAAATAAATACAAATCTACAATTTACACGGGTGTTCATCATCTGTTTCACTTCGTTTCATTGAACATGAATGAACGTCTGTTTTAAGTAAGTTCCAATTACGAAAGTAATTTGGAAAAATTATTTGCGTACAACTAAAATGTACGTGTTAAAAAAACACCGCACATTTCAAATTGTACTCTGCAATGCAATGCAGGGGATACGTTAATTATAAATGTAACTTGCGATCAATATTCAAATTAAAACCAATTGCTGTGAATTATTAAATATAACTCTGCAGGAGCCGGTTGCATCCTGTGACGTTTAAATTTCGTCCGTTGAGAGCCTTTGCGAGGATTCCGAACGGAAATGTTTGAGTGGAGTTTTCAGACTAAACACCACGGCTGTCCCCAGACTAATTTCCATACCTTGTGAAAATTTACTAAAAAAAAACCCCACAAAATAACGAAACAGAATTTACGTGCAAAATAATGTGTTTTTGTTTTTATATATATGAAAAAACTCTTGTCGAGCCAATGTCGTGAAGCAAACTATATTTGGCACTATATTTAATACACTATGACACGATATTGAAGCCAATGTAGTATGTATTTATATTTAGTTTGAGTATGCACTGTAATTATAGTAAACATATAATTATCCATTCAAACTCACTGGCACGCAGAAGCCGAGTCGATCTAATAAAGAAACAACCATATTCTCTGCTTTTGTGTTGTGTTTAGTGTTGTTGTCCTTAACCACGCACCTCCGATTAGCACGTTTGGCTACGTACGGTAAGAAAGAAGTTCAACATACAAGGTTGTGGTGACACTTCCATCCCAGTTTTTTCGACATTCCTGCATCTGTGTGTGTGTGTCGGTGGGGAGTGGTGGTGTAGCAGTTAGCGCGCTGCACTATGAACCTGGTGACCAGGGTTCGATTCCCGCGCACGGCCAACACCAGTGACGATTATCTGAACCGGTCCTGGGCCTCCCCTAGGTCGACTCAGCCTCAAATGAGTACCTGGTGCGGTGTGTAAACATCGTCTATAGGGAGACAAAAGCGGTCGGGCGTGGTGCTGGCCACCCACTCCCTCGTGTACCGTTTCGGCCTTCATAGGTGCTCGCTAACAGCACTTGCCCCTACAGTCTGTTAAGGCTACACGGGGGGAATCTTTGTGTCAGGTGGGTCTGTATTTAAGCTTTAAAACGATATTACAATTGCACAGCTTCCCAACGCGGTGTTGGGGTCGTAACGCAGTCTCAGCCGAATCCACTTTGGAGAGCCAGTCAGCGCAGCCGCAAGAACCTCAGATTTCAGCACTAGTGTCACGTGCATGTAACTCGTGAGATGCTGGTATTTCTGATGTCATCTGGACTCGCTTCTCTACGGCAATATCTGCGTGTTTTTTGTTAAGTTTCGTTGAAAAATGCATACGTCAATTTTTTGTTATTTAATTTCATTATCATCATCATCGTCGATAATAATAACAACCAAAAGACAGTGTCAAGTAAATGCTAGATGAAGGCCTCCCTTGTGCTGCGTCGGTCGTGAGAGATGTCTAGGCCATACTTCATCACTGCTGGCGAGCGCTGGTTGGTAAAAGGGCGTTGGGGAAGTGAGCTGCGGACCAGGGAGTTGAACTCCGATCCCAGGGTTCATAAGCCCGGCGCGATGCTTGTGACAGCAAGCAGAGCTTCGCGGGGCTATTTTTCGATTTAAAGCTTTCGTGACTGCAGGGATTCATCTTCTTGGTTCTTTCGGTAAAGTCACGTAGAATGGAAATAATAAAATAAGAAAAATAAAACATAATAAAATAATTCTCACTGCAGGGATTCATCTTCTTGGTTCTTTCGGTAAAGTCACGTAGAATGGAAATAATAAAATAATAAAAATAAAACATAATAAAATAATTCTCACTGCAGGGATTCATCTTCTTGGTTCTTTCGGTAAAGTCACGTAGAATGGAAATAATAAAATAATAAAAATAAAACATAATAAAATAATTCTCACTGCAGGGATACATCTTCTTGGTTATTTCGGTAAAGTCACGTTATTTTATTATTTAAATTCTACGTGACTTTACCGAAAGAACCAAGAAGACTTTGCGGGGCTGTAACTCGCACGCATTGACTAAGGAGCAGCACAAGGTCTGCGTTTCGCCGTTTGCAAGCCGCAACCACAAATGCCGCACACGCACGCGAGCCCACGCGTACGTGTTTGGCGATGCGTGTAGAATATTCGTGTTAACTGCAAAAAAAATTACTTCTTTCAGATGTATGATTTTGCACCTTGGCGTAGAGGACTAAATGTTACCAGAGATGTTGACTGTTGAAGGAGAATGACTTGAACTGAGCAGATATGGCGAAGGACAGGTTTGAGATAGAGGCCAATCACGGGTGTCTAGTGGTCACGTAGAGAGTACGGAGGGCACGCGTATTCTGTGCACCTTCGACTAGCACGGTTGGCTACGTACGATGCAATAGAAGTTCAACGTACATACTGGCCTAGCTGAGTGCACAGCCCAGTGTCACCAAAGCCAATACGATGCATCACGAGCATTTGTGGTTGCAATTTGCGAAACACATTTAGTGGCAATTGTGTAACTTTAATGAATGTATTTTCATACTCTAACTTTAAAAAAATAATAATTACTTATTCCACACGTCTATAATGATATAGCTGTTGGCATATTCCTTTATGTAAATCCATCGTGTAATCTAGCTTGTAAGATGAATTTGAAGTGACGGCTTGGATTTGTAATATAACCGGCATAATTGTAATGAAAGAGTGTTTAAATTGACTATGGTGATGCGTTTTTCTTGTTCTAATTAAGCAAATTTATATTGTATATACTTGCATACTTTCGACATCATGTTAACCTAGACATAGCATCTAAATGAATTCACGTCATTTAAATGCGGTATACACCTCTGATGTAATGAGAAAGACAAGAGACGGAATGGGATGTTGTGCCTGGGGATAATACGCATGTATGTTGAACTTCTTTCGCACCGTACGTAGCCAACTGTACTAATCGGAGGTGCGGGGAAACGACAACAAACTAAGCACTAAAACACAGTTGTAAAGAAATGAGTTTTCAATCTACATTTGAAAGTGCATAGCTCCAATGGCGTCCTAATATCGGAAGGGAGAGCGTTCCAGACGGCCGCGAAAGTGCGTTTTCAAGCGCCGTGCGACGCGGTGGCCGCCGCCTTTGTTCGATGGCCACGGCCAAAATCTCCTGCTGCTGCTGCGAGGTGCACGAAGTTAGGCGGAGACAGCGCTTCGAATGCACTTCACGGCGATTTTGAAGAATCGCACCCAACTGGGAGGAGGAGGAGGATGAGGAGCGTCCGATGCGACGTTCGTAAGTGAATATTTCGTGGACAGAGTCACATTGCGGGAGGAATACCGCGATCGCCGATGCTCTTTGAGAAAACGACACGGCCGAGGGTGAGTGACGGAGAGACACGCACACAATGCTGGCGACGGTGTTATTGATTTATCAACAACATCTCGTGTTGTCAGAGGGTTCGTATATAGGGCACGTGAGTTGGTCAATAACGGTCACGTCTTAAAAAAAAATATTACAAGTTAACACCGCATTGTTCCGGCAATCCAACACCTTGCAACAACAAAAAAACCCTTTCAGCTAAATCAAAGGCTCTAGAGTGCTGGTATTTTTTAAAATCCTTTATATCAAGTTCATTTGCTTGCTTGCTTGCACGCTTACGACCGTGCAAATCTTTCGGTCGTTTTTTAACCCACATCCCGTGATCCAATCGAGCTGACATTTTGCACACAGACCTCGTTGTGCGTGACAATTTATTTTCGTGAAAAAAAAATGCCCAAACTTTCCACTTTTTAGGAAAAAAAATGTTTCATATGTAATTTAAAATACCAATGTGATAAAAATGAAACTCCTACTCAAGAAAAACAAAAATTAATAATAAAATAAAACCGATGCCACGCATATAAAGGATTTATAGTGAAAAACTTTGTTTTTACGGGTTAATTTGTTTTATACTACGACTAAGATTTATCAATGATAACTCTTACAAGGGCAAGCCACGCAGCAGTCATGCACGTAAGCGCAATCACGTGGCAGCGTGGATTCCCTCTGCTTCTACACAGCTTCGAATGCCCTGCTGATGTTTCCCCGAGTACAATAACAATTCTTAATGATGTGTATAATCTCGGCGTAAGCCTGCCTCGCGTGCACACAGGCAGTGCTCGCTTGCTTGCGCACAGAGGGTTGTCCCGGGGTTCCGATGGGTACTTCCGATATCTAAACAGTTGGAGGTAAGGTTTTGACGTGAAGGCCGAATCGTTGTGCGCTACGAGTTCGGTCGATTAACCTGTACCGGTTCCTGGGCCTCCCCTAGGTCGACTCATCCTTAAATTGGTACCTGGCGCGGTGTGTCGTAACCATCGCCACCAGGGAGACAAAGGCGGCCGGGCGTGGTGCTGGCTACCCACCCCTTCGTGTGCCGTGTCGGCCTTCGTAGTTGCTGCTCGCTAACAGCACCTGCCCCTACAGTCCGTGAAGACTATACGGGGGATCTGTGTCTTTGTGTGTGACACTGTTTTAGGTGACAGCGTGGCCATGCACAGGCCAAATCGCTGCGCACCGAGAGGATGGGACCCAGTCGTGCATCAACCAACACATCACGGCTTGAAACTTGGTGACCGTTTAAATAAAAAAATCAAAGGTGATTACAATTAAAGGCATTTCAGAAGTTTCGCCTCTATCAATATATATACACGTATATACAAACTTGGATCTGTGCTGAACAATTATAGTTTGCCTTTGGAAGCTAACCCTCCTTTTCCTGCAGACGACCGCTTGTGTTGCGATTGAAACGTCGTAGTTTGTTGTTATTTTATTTGAACCCATCTACGTGACTTTACCGAAAGACCCAAAGAATATGACGTACTGCAGTCACGAAAGCTTCAAGTCAAGATTTAACTATTGGACGCTTGATGGCTACCCCTTCCGTAACATGAAATAATATATTACTACAATGCGGTATAACCTTTTCTTAAAATTAGAAGAGCGTTGTTATTTAATTGAATGTTTTATTTTATTCTTTCAACAAGTTAACGTGCACAAGTAATTCCACGCAATGAGGAGGAATCGTCACACAGGGCTCCTCCTGACGCAATCATCGACCAACCTCGACCGAACGTCACATCTGTCTCTCGGCAACTACGTCAGAAGAATACTTGATGAGGCTGAAATATGTTTTCCTTAGAGGTATACAACTAATACTGTTGAATTCGCTAGGTAAAGCCCACTGAAGCTATGAGCTCTTTTTTCAGAGGCGATGTTAGATCATGTACATGACAGATGTCATCACGCGTGAGGGCTTTATAGCAGCAAGCAGAGATAATCTAAACACGTGTTTCTAAACGTGGAGGAAAAAAAACAGGGAGGCAACCCCGAGTTCAATCCACGCAAAGCACGGGGCGAGAAAGAACACGCCAAAGACTCCACACATTCACAAACAGGCATCGGTCAGCGTCCGGGGATCGAACCCACGCGCTCCTGCGTAAAACCAGGCGCGGTATCTATCACCTCCTGCCCACACCGCAGCGTCACCCAACGTACCTTCGCTACGAGCGCGGATCTTTAAAGACACTTCGACAGGGAAGGGTCCCTCCCTTCACGCGCGGCCGCCAAATCCCACGGCGCGGAATCCCCGCGCGCGACACATCGTAAATAATGAGCCCGTACCTGCCGCGCGCGATCACCGCTGATATACCGGGAGCGTCGTTCCGTCGCTGCCAATGAACGAGCCGCGTTCCCGTGGGCCACGGGCGTCACGCGGCCCCCCCCCCTGCGCACATGCACGCCCACAACAATACCCCACCACCACCCACCCACGACCCATCCCATCCACCCACTCGTCCACTGGGGGCCGGCCCAATCGGTCGGCACCACCTCCGCCGCCACCCGTGCCGACGCGGCGTGCGCGCTACCCAATGCCCGGTGGCCCGCGATGGGGGAACCCTCGTTACCTCGATGTCCGCGCAAACATTAGAGATGCATTGATATGTTAAGGGTGGGGAGGGGGGGGGGCAGGAGGGGAGGCGGAATAGCCCGCACCCCAGCCAACCCCTCCACGACTCCCCTCGTTCCCTACCCACAAGGATAAAGAGCCCCCGTATAGCCTTTAGCGGACTGTTGGGGCAAGTGCTGCAGTTAAAGCGAGCACCTATGAAGGCCAACGCGGCACACGGATGGGACGTGCCTCTGGTGGCTAAAACCACGACCTGCCGGCCGCCTTTGTCTCCCCCAGTAGCGATGTTTATTTATACACATCATACCAGGTACTCAATTCAGGCTGAGTCGCTCCTAGGAGGGGAGGGGAGGGTGGTCACGCCCGGGACCGATTCAGATAATCGTCACCTATGTTGGCCGTGAGCAGAAATTTAACTCGGTTCACCCCGGGGTTCGTAACACGGTGCGCTAACCACAAGACCCCCTCCCCGCCCACACACTCACACGATCAGTGCTCGTTAGAAGGGGGTCTCTGCGCTAGGGGCGTGGAGCCGGGATAATTATGATTAAAATGCGGGGGCGGTGGGAGCTTGCTCTTACGGTAATCGATGTTTGCCCGATGGCATTGGCGCCGTTCTACCTCTGTGTCTTTGTCCCCCCGCCCCCATCACTCCACGGGGGCTCCGTCGTGCAATGCGGTGTCCACGTTCATCCTCCACCACACGCACTTCCACCACCACCATCATCATCTCGATTGGAGCGGCTTCATTGACCGCGCGCTGCACGTAACAACCGGACAAAGCGTCTCGGCCCCGTGGCTCAAAATGCAAAAAGGAACGTCCTTGGCATTTCCACGCCGCCGCTGCTGCTGCCGCTGCTGCTACTGCTGCAACTGCTGCTACCTTGAATGCCGGCGTAATGAATGTACCTGTGGAGGTAAAAGAAGCCCCCTGAACCGCTGGCGACGAGACCGTGAGATGGTTGTCGCCTCGCTGTAGTTGCCCCCGATACAATCTGCACAATGAGCTCTTTGTCAATGCCAGACTCTCTTTAAGTGGTTTCTGTAAAAAAAAATAAACCCAACAATATAGCGATGATGTTTTCATGTCATGATCTGCAGTGAGTCAGGGCTGAACACGTCGAAGGAATCATGAATTCGCCTTCCTTTTACACTTTTGTTGGTGCATACCGTAATGTAAATGTCTATTTATGTTAAAAAAAAAATGCTTATAGCATTCAACAAATGCTGCTGAAATAGTTTGGGTACAGAAAACAGCGTGCATTTATATATCCTCGCGAAAGGCAACCTCAACTTATTATTTGAGAGTTTAGATTCGTCTCGTATACATTACGGTAACTGTAGACGAATTAAAACTCATTAAAGAAATGCAACATATAGCACCACGAGCACTAATCCTAAGTATTAAGAGCTACATTTTAACTTCCAGCATGTTCCTTACAAAGCAAAACAAAAAAACCAGGCGTGGCTAGGTATACGCACTCAAGCAATAATTGCACGGCGCCGAAATTCTATAAATACACACCCACAACACGTACACAGACACACAACAACAGCACCATGATCACCAGCACGTGTGTGTGTATGGGCGCGCGTGCGTCCACGGACGCGCGCACATTTCAGGTTTAACCTGAGCGACGGCTCTCCCGTCCCCCTCCTCTCTCTCTGTGAGACGCGTGAGGCAATCACTGAGAAATCTGCCTCGGGTGCGCATCTTGCCTCCTCGCCGCACGTCACGAAGGCAGCAGCAGAAGGGGCAGCAGTAGCAGCAGTAGCAGCAGCAGTAACAGCAGTAGCAGCAGCAGCAGTAGAAGCAGCAGTAACAACAGTAGCAGCAGTAGAAGTAGCAGCAGCAGTAGCAGCAGCAGTAGCAGCAGCAGTAGCGGCAACCGGTAGGCGCGGATGTCGTCGCGGATTTTATTTAAAAAAAAATATTTTTTATTTTCTAAAAATAAAAATTGGGCGGCGCAGCCACGGGGCTGCGAGAGAGGCGCAGCGCGTCGCACGCGCGCACGCACGCACGCGCGCACGTGCCTTGAACTTCTTTCGTACCGCACGTGGCCAAAGCGTGCTGATCGGAGGCGCGTTCCGTACGTGGAGCCTCGGCGAGACGACGGGGTTGTGCGTGCGCGCAAAAAGGCCAGCAGCGAGCGCGGGGCTTAAGCCCTCGGGATGTCACGCGGGGGGGGGGCTGGTACCATTCGTGGATACCCACGCCGTAGCACCCGCCCGTCCACCTGCCTGCCTGCCCCTGTCACCTTCACCACCACCATCATCATGTGTCTGTATGTTGAACTTCATTCGCACCGTACGTGACCAACCGCGCTAATCGGAGGTGCGGGGCAAGGACGACAAACTAAACAAAAAAAACCGGTTCTAAAGAAATTAGTTTTTTATCTATATATATAAAATCGTGCATGTCTGTCTGTCCGTCTGTGTGTGTGTGTGTGGATTTCGGACCATACGCACTTTCATTGGACGGCGGTTGCCCCTGGCAACGGATAGCGACGCCTTCGCCGCTTTCATTGGACTTGGCAACGGCTAGCCACGCCTTCGCCAAGGGCTGCAGTTTCATTGGACGGCGGTTGCCCCTGCCAACGGCTAGCCACGCCTTCACCACTTTCATAGGCTCCGTAAATAATTAAATAACAGCCATTACACAGTATTGTTGGCGCGCTAGGGGGGGGGGGGGAAGGCACGCCACCCGTACCCTGCCTCTGCCGGGTGGGCAATTTAGGCCAGGCCGGAGGCTCTGCACGCTACTAGGCCTCGACACCCACCACACCACTCTGAGGTAAATTCATCAAAGTTTTTCCTACTCTTCACTCCACCCCCACCACAATGTGTGCTATTTATATTACTTTTAAACCCAACGCGCCAAACATCGATTACTTAAATGTTCACTGTACAAATAGTCATTAAGCTGGGTCAGCGTACTGCCAGTCTATCATGTAGACTGTAGCCTGCTTATTAAGCTCGGTGAGCGTACTGCCACTCTATCATGTACACTCTAGCCTGCTTATGAAGCTGACTGCGTGTACTGGCAGTCTATAATGTGGACTGTAGCCTGGTTATTATAATCGATTCTTTATATGTTCTTTGTACAAATAGTCATTAAGCTGGTTGAGCGACCCCAGTTCCATTCCAACTCACGCCCACCACCGCTGACGATTATTTGAAACGGACCTGGCCCTCCCCTAGGTCCACTCAGCCTCAAACGCGTAACTGCTGTCGTGTGTGAACATCGTCACTGGGGAGACAAAGGCGGCCGGGCATCGTGGATCCAAGTCCCGGGCGAAGCCGGGTCAGGTGTATGTGTTTATGTGTATGCCTGTGTGTCTGTATGTATGTGTGTATGTATGTGTGTGTTTGTGTGTGTGTGTGCATGTATGTGGGTTTTTTTCTATGTCTTTATGTGTATGTCTGCGTGTCTGTATGTATGTATGTACGTGTGTGCATGTGTTTGTGTGTATGTATGTGTGTGTCTATGTATGTGTGTGTATGTGTTTCTGTGTATGTATGTGTGTGTATGTATGTGTGTTATGTGTCTGTCTGTGTGTTTGCATGTATGTGTGTGTGTATTGTGTATGTGTTTGTATGTGTTTGTGTGTTTACGCTCGCATTACACAAATGTGTTGCAGGTCTAAGGAGTTCCTTGCGCAGCATTGCCGCTTTATTATTTCAGTCGTTTACTGCCGTACGCACCCTGAAAGTCGTGTGTGTCTGCAGCAAGCGCGTGTATGTGTACCTATGGACGCGCGCGCGTGTGTTGTGTAGGGGGAACGGTAGTGTTGTGCTTAGCGTGCTGCCTGTGTCTGTGTGTCTGTGTGTGTGTGTCTGTGTGTGTGTCTGTGTGTGTCTGTGTGTGTGGTGTGTGGGGAGCGGTAGTGTAGTGCTTAGCGTGCTGCCTGTGTCTGTGTGTGTGTGTCTGTGTGTGTGTCTGTGTGTGTGCGTGTGTGGTGTGTGGGGAGCGGTAGTGTAGTGGTTAGCGTGCTGTCTGTGTGTCTGTGTGTGTCTCTGTCTGTGTGTGTCTGCGTGTGTCTGTGTGTGTGTCTGTGTGTGTGTCTGTGCGTGTGTGGTGTGTGAGGAGCGGTGGGTGTAGTGCTTAACGCTACGCTGCGCTACCAACCCGGCGAACCCAGTTCCATTCCCGCTCACGACCACCACCGGTGACGATTATTTGAACCTCCCCTAGGTCGACTCTGCCTCAAACGAGTAACTGCTGTAGCATATTAACATCGCCACTGGGGAGACAAAGGCGGCCGGCCGTGGTGGATACAAGTCCCGGGCGAAGCCGGGTAGTACAGCTAGTCGCAAATATACGCAGCGTTGGAGAGTACTCGGATGGGAGATTGTCTGGGAATACGGGGGAGTTGTATGCTTGAGGCTGCGAGGTAGTTGAGAGATGGCGGTAGAGACGGTGTTTGCTTTGATTATATCCGTGCGGAGCTTTGAGTGTTGTCCTCTGTGGTATGCATGGTGGGGGTTCTCCTCCGACAAGGGAGCCCAATTCTAAATGGCATTGGACCAAACATCCCAATGTGGCAGGAACCTCCTGACAGACAACCTCGAGATGAAGTGAGGCTCTTCTCGATAAGGGCGATACAAATGTAATCTCAAGCAGCGTACGCCTGGTTATAAGTAACATTTATATTTATTAAATATAGCAATCATTCTATCTACGGGACATTTTGTTGCTAGTCTGGATTTA